AAAACCTTTATTTCTGGGATCTCATTTTTCTTTAAAAGCAATCTTATTTTTGCTTCTTTCTACAGAATTATGAACCACATTTTCCTGACTAAGGCACCTCGTTTCCTTTGCCCCCGGCAGCTCGTTAACGAGGAGAATTTCAGAGTCTCCGATGCTGGGCCTGAGTTATTTCACTGACTGTGTGTGGACCCCCCTCAAATAATCGTATCTGTTTTTCTCTATTTAAAAGTTTATCTTGAGTCCAGGCCGGTGTAGTTCAGTGGGTAGAGCGGTGGCCTGCGGACCGTAGGGCCCCGGGTTTGATTCCCATCAAGGGCACATGCCCAGGTTGCAGGCTCGGTCCAGCGTGCAGGAGGCAGCCGATCAATGATTTCCTCTCTTCATTGATGTTTCTCTCCCTCTTCCTCCCCTTCCTCTCTGAAATAAATAAGAATATATTAAAAAAAATTTATCTCAAGTCCAGGCCAGTTTAGGTCAGTGGTCCTTGCGCCGAAGGGTCAAGGGTTCGATTCCCATCAAGGGCACGTACCCGAGTTGCAGGTTCAGTCCCCACCCAGTATTGGGGCTCGTGCAGGAAGCAACTGATCGATCGATGTATCTCTCATCCATGTTTCTCTCTCTCTCCCTCCTCCCCGCCTTTCCATTCTCTCTGAAAACCAATGGGAAAAATATCCTCGGGTGAGAATTAACAAAAAACATTTATTGCGGTTAGGTTTTCAAATTCTCCAGGTCACTTTCTCTAGCCAGTCTGTGCGGCGGCATATTTCTTGGCACGTTGTACTAGTTGCACATATTCCCCACGGGCCAGAGAGTAGGCGCAGGTGGCACCTGCATTTTAAATGGGAAACAACGACTGTGGTTTAGAGGCGTGGACCACGAAACAGCCGGCGTGCAGAGAAGTTACCAAAGTGCTCACAGCGGGAAGACTGGCAGGAGGCAGGGCTGTGCGTGGGGGGCGGGGGGCTCCTGGTGCAGCTGTGTAGCCCCCTCCCCTCCACGGTCTGGAGACAGCATTCGTCACATTTGGTACGCGCATCTTCTATTTTTCCCTCCGCGTGATTTTGTACATATGCTATTTTTCTTTCCATAAAAATGGTATTAAACTGTACATACTGTTTTGTATCTGGATATTTCACATAGAAGTATATTGTTAACATTTTCCCATTTCAATAAAGACTATTCTACGGCTTAGTCTCTCATGGCTGCGACCTGCTCTGCCTTCTGGGTCGTATCGTCAGTACTGACTGGTCCCGGCTGGTTTCTGATCGCTGCGTGTTCCCGGTGCACAGCCCTGAGCAGAGCCCTGGCGTGCAGGCGCCTGTGTGACCGGCTTCTTTCCTTTATTGTAACTGCCCGCGGGGCCGGCAGTGGCTCTGGTGCTGGCACTGAGGTCCGCCTTGAGGTCGTTGTGGTGAAGGGAGACCTGTATGGACAGGACCCCACCGCCTTCCCCTGGTTCTGCCCCCAAAGTGTAACGTCCGTCTGACCTTTCAGTTTCTCTGAGCAGGGCCCTGCCCAAGGGCCCCCCTAGCGCCTTCCTGCGTTCGGCGCGGACTGGGCTTGATTTGTGAAGCAAGCGGGAGCCAGGGAGGACGGCACTTACCGGGCGTGTGCCCATCGGTCCGAGCTGCTTGGTGAGCTGCTGTGTCTCTAGGCACCGCCAGGCCATCTGGTCACTCATACGTCACTGGGTTGTGCACGACGCCTCTGTTCTCTGAGAGGCGCCCTTTCCTGCCCTTACCCCACCCCCCTAGGTGTGGTCTCCGTTCCTTTGCGCCCTCAGGTGCTGTGCAGCGGGAACCCGGGAGTGCACAGCTCCGTGCAGCGTCCTGGCACCTCCGCTGTGATCGACACGGTCGGACTCCAGTGCGGTGAGTCCCAGCGTGTCTTTGTCTTCCGTGCACACGTCCGCGCTGCACATTCGGGGTCCCCGGGCCAAATCCCTTAGGTCTGGTTTCTGGTTGATTGACAAGCCTTCGAGGAGCTCGCTGGTCCCTCTGGCACCCGGCCCTGAGCTCCCCTCGCCGTGGGCGCGTTCTCTGCCGGGCGTTTGTGAAGTCCGTCCCTGGTGCTACAGCCTGGGGAGGCGTCGCAGGAAATGCCAGGCACGTTGTCAGAAGTGGTACACGGAGCCCACAGCTTGTTCCATTTTATTTACTTATTTTTTATTAAATGTACTGGGGTGGCGTCGGTCCATGCGATCGTACAGGTTTCAGGTGTGGGTTTCTCCGAAGCCAGATGTGCATGTTGCACCGTGAGCCTGTGTTGCACTCATATGTCCACGTAGGAGTGAAATCACAGGGCTCTTGGCTTCCTCTGACGGACTTACCCCCTCAGCATCCTGTTCTCAGGCCCATCCCTGCTGGGGTCCAACCCCAGCAGGTCCAGGGGTCCCCAAAGGTGTGGACGGAGTCGGCGAAGAAGGAATGACACGGAGACAGCGTTCAGTTGATCAGCAGCCTTGCCAGGATCTCTAGCCACAATCTCCAGCCAAGTACTGTGTCCATGTTCTCTTGCTAGGTTCTCCAGCCAGGTTCTCCAGGTTCTCCAGCCAGGTTCTGTAGCCATGCTCTCACACTAGGTTCTCCAGCCCG